GTCCTCTTATCGGGCAGGCTCCTTCCTTAGGTCTTTACGATTAAAGTTTCACGTAAAACTTCCGGCCGGAGGAAACTGGGAACTTCCGGCGTCGTTCTACGTTCTCGCTTCAATTATCCATCTTACCCTTCGACCGCTTCTTCTTAAAGCCCCATCCTCCCGATCTTCTCCGCTTTTCATCCCCTTGAAATACGTTTTATTACTTTCCGCATTAGTATCTATAATGACTCCTCTTTCTTCGACTTCTTCTCTTTGTTCAGAGAAAGATCAATCGTATTAAGTCCGTTGTACGTCCAACGAACTTCCGGTTTATGGGATAATTGACCCTAATGGGAGAGCAATACTGATGGTTCGTACGGGATAAAAAAAAAAGGAAAGTTTCCTCGCGATCAGTGCTGGTGCGACTTGAAATTTCTCAATGTTTTTATCTGCTTTGTATAATACAATTAATCGACTATCGTTTTCAAGGCTTTATTGCACAGATTTATTATTAAGAACAAATTTCATAAAAAAATACTTCAAAATTTTTGTTCAACAATTAGAAAAAAAGGCAAATAATTTTTAGATTGCTTTTTATTTTAATATTTCTTGCTATATTTTGCATAAGTATGAAAATTATATATTGTGTTCTGATATTTATATAGTAAATATTCACTAAAATGCATGTGTATATAAATTTATAGTGAAAACACGATACATATTATATATATCATTTATTATCTAATTAATATCTGCGAATCGAGATTCTACATCATTTTTCAATAATATAGCAAGAGAAAATATTATGTATGAAAATATGGAATATTTATATCTCAATTTTCAAATTACAGGATGACATAAAATGTCGCTATTATCTATATTGTATATCTACATATGTTTTGTTGTTGTGAGATTGAAGCGTCGTCTATATTGTTATGCTTCTGCCTTCAATCTTATTCAAGAGCGTCACCAACGCAGCGCGATACCATAAAAGACTTTATTGTTCCGGTCACACAGAACGTGCTGGTCGAATATGTAACGACGTCATTGTGCTATTTTAATATTGAGGCAACGATGTTTTCCTCGCATCCATTTTATTGGTAACGCGGTCGCGTGGATCGAAGGGAAATACGTTTGCGTAATTGAATCGGGCCGGCAAGACTGGTATCGTCGCTCGGCGATATTTCGTCGCCGCGATTCGGAGCAGACGTTGTCGTCGCGAAGGTCTCGCGAGTTTTTCGCATGCAAGGAGTCGCAGTTTCTTGCTCCATTTAACCCCACGTTTCTTCTCCCATCCTCCGATTTCCATCCCTTTTCAGCGTGACGGAGGCCCGCGCCTCTTTCCCCATCCATCGACCCGTTCTTTTTGTGTTCTCTATTCACGAGCTTTGCCCGCATCCTCTCCCTCCCTCCTCACCTCTCCCTTTCTTGTATCCTTCTTTGCGAATCATCTCCCGTCTCTCTCTCGTTACGTTTCCGACGATCCTTCCTGGCGCTTCTCGTCTTCCCTTTCTTGTTGCTTTCATTCTATCTCTCCATACCTTTCCATTTCTACTTTCTTTTTTTTATTATACTATCATCTTGGCTTTGCTTTCGCCCACCCTTTTTTCCTTTCCTCCCCGTCGTCGTCCTCTCTTCAGTTTGTTCGAACTTTCTCCACTAACGCATTCTAACTTTCTGACTTTCGTTTTTCCTTCTGCCTGTCGTGCTATCTCATCGTTCGTTACCCTCCGCTTTGCTCAGTATTCCTTTGCTAACGTATTCCATCTCGCTCGCTCGAGTTTTTTCTACCGAGATTTCCCCGTAGTTTCTCTATCTTCTATTAACCTATTCCCTTCGTAAGCTTTTGGTCGTATTCTTTTTACCATTTGTTGCTTTTACTTTTTTTTTTGCTTTTCGCTATCCCAATCTGCTAACATATTTGAGATTCCTCTTGTTTTATTTCATCGTTATTCCTTCTGATTTTTTTTATTTTTCCACTTTTATAATGGCTTAAAATTTTTTAATCTACTTCCGTTTTTAATCCATTTATGAACAGACAACATATTTTTACTTTCAACTTTTATCTTTAAATTTCTTCTATGTAATCGCGATTCACCTTCGCAATTAACTTACTTAGAAAAAAAAATGCAATCAATACAATAAGCACATATTATCGGCATTACTCCCTTTTTTTTGTTTTTGTTTTGTTATATGCAGAATTTGCAACCATAGATTTCTCGCGAGACAGTTGCAGTTATAAAAAATAGAGTAAATATATTTATGACTCTGCGTAAAATAATACAATCATATAAATAATTCATATTAAATATTTCAAAAAAATGTAAATGTATCGATTTTACTCTGCATCCACAGTTTCGTATTTCATGATTCAGCAATACATCAGATACCTTTCAATATAGTTATGCAGAAGTTTTGAAGACGACCAGGCCCCCCATACGATATATATATATAGCTTTCAACCGAGTACTTTCGCGAAAAGAAGATCGATATGTAAACGGCGCTGTGAAAATATTTTGCGTATAAAGTGTATCTTGGAAAGCGCCTTAATAATATTAGATAATATTTTTGTAACATTCGACGTTTAGAAAAAAAAGCCATGATATGACTGCATTATCATTCCTTTATACGATACAGGATTTACTTTTCACATATAGCCGCTGCAATATCGATGCTTGTTTCACCGCATGTTTAAATTGCAAACGTTGCAAAAAGTAACGCCCGTGAAACGTTATAATCTGTAAGATATATTTTCCAAATATTATTTGCGAGCGGTGCGCTACGTAGTAATTTGCTACACATCGACGTGCTTGCGTCTCGTCGCGCATCCCAATAAAGTTCGCAATTTTTAATGGAACCGAGCCGATCGTTACTTGCACCACGAAATCGGACTGTGCGTTTTCATTCGCGCGCGCGGAGAGCGAAGAGGATCAAACGTTAATAAAAACAAACGCAACACCGGGTGCATCGGCAAATCCCTCGCAAAGCTCCGTCGCATTGTCTGCGCCCACCCGATTCTGCCGGCACTCCTGGAAAAAATGGTTAATCCGTCCTTTATGACGCAGCAGCTACCTCCACGCGTGCGGATTCCGTCTCCACTCGGGCGGAAAAAGAAGCGCGCCGACTGTGGAAATGAAATAAGCGCGTATATGGATACGGGCGCGTGTCGGCCTGCATACATTTCCGTAGTATCCCGTCACCGTCCTCTTGCCGCCGCTCTTATCCCTTTCATCTCGTTTCCTCCGCCAGCGCATTTTCGCATTGCAAGGTGGCCATTCCAGTTCTCATAGTTTCTCCTCCTTTCTATCCGCCGAGTCGCGTCGCAATATCTCGGATATCCGCGCGAACGTCCGCGCCGGGATGGCGGCATAATTTTCGCGTCGAAGGACCAAGCACGCCTCTAGGCGAGCGTGTAATCTCCGTGCGGACGTAGGAACGTCGTCTCCGTGTTACAAAAGACGACGGATTTTCACGGACGCGAATTGCATTTTCACGTGGCACTTTTGCAGCGCGCGAGAGCACGAAATTGCCAGAAAAAAAATTTTTCAAGCAGGTATTCAAAATAGTGGGTGAAAATGTGGATTTTTTTTTTTTTTAATTTTCCTCTAGCTTTATAATAAAAAATCTTCATATCTACCGGCATATAAACTAAAAAAGAAAATAAAATATGTAATTTATATTATATCCACGACGAATGGTACAGATTAATTAGTCAGTTGAAATAGCACGACTGATATTTGAAGGAAAGATACATATCTTACGTGCATAAAGAATATTCGAGTTAAACATTTTATCACGTTGAATCGTTAAACATTGCTACAATATAGGGGATGACAAATATTTACAAACAAACGATACGTGATCAACGTATTTCTTGTGCAATTTTGTTGCACAGTGTTTGCTGTTTGCCGTGCAGAATTCGCAATTTCGCTATTTGTAATTACTTCCTTTCTGTAAAAAGGAAATGTAACTGGCGAAGCGTGCGTGGAAAGCACAATAAATTAACTTATTCTTGTACGTCCACGAGAATAAAAATATTTTTTACGGAGGAAAAAACAAACCGATCATATTATGATGCTATAATTATTTCGAAAAGTAACGAGAAACTTTCTTTTACGTTTGCAATTTAACAGGAAATAAAAAGTGACATGTATAAAATCGCCTAATCGTGAAATCGATAGTTTCGAATTGAATCGTCAAAACCAGTAAATGAATTTGATTCCAGATTAAGCACTTGTATGTAGTTTAAGTTTTGCATCGTTAGGAGAGCGAGCAGCGAAATCCGATTGAAGTATATGGACACGCGAGCACGCGAGATTCGATGCAACAAAGCGTGCAAATTTACCTCTATTGCGAAGGCTCGAACTCCATCATGAGAGGGCGCGTCCGGTGTGTACACGCGCTCTTTCGACATCCAGAGCACCTTTGTGTATCTTGGCTCGGTGCAGAACTCAATGACGATATCCAGAGGTTCGCCCTCGTTCGCAGTCACCGTTTGACTCGATGGAAGAAGCATGGGCCTTCCTGCAACGAAAATAGACGGGAAAATTGGTTAAGCTTTGTCGAATGAACGCACAGCCACCCCTATTCTTGCCGCGGCCATAAATCTACCCTTCGTCGGCACGATAGGCGCTTTTTGCGTTTGCTAAAAGCTTGTACCTTATTAACGACGTAAATTTCCATCCAAATGGCACCCCGTTAACGGGCGACCCTCCGCGATTTTATTTCAATCGCGGAAGCGCACACGATTATTAAAGTCGTCAAGCGGGCGCGTGTCTTTTATAGCGAGGTTTTTTTTTGGCGCATGCATCACTGTTATCGGTGTTTCTGGCATGTAAAAATTCGGGAATAGCAAGTCACGCTGATAGATGTTAGTATGTTGTCAATGGAAGACGTATAGCAAAACATACATCGATAACATACCACAGTGATCGATTTCACTATTGTCATATTTCCACTTTCGATCGATCTTTAGTTTTTCTTAAATTATTTTTGACGGATATTTTTTGACCGATGAGGAGAATACACGAAATGTAAGTTGGTGGAAAAGTAATACTTGTTCTGCTTTCTGCATTTAAAGTGAGTGTCGTTCAAAGCTTCAAAAAAAGAAAGAAAAGAATGGAAAAGTACACGATAAGATAAACTTATAATCTTCGGACGACTTTTTGAAATATTAAAGATCTCTTGAGATTACGACTTTGTCATCATTTCCATTTTTAATTTAGCGCGCATCCAGCCGAGATTATGTGCCAACATTTAATTATAAAATAATGCCCTCGCGTATCACAGTTTTGTTCCGTCGCATTTAAACATTTCCAGTAAATATTTGCTAATCACATTTCTATCGCAGGTTCAATGATTTAATGCGATTAAATATGATTAAAGAAATCGTATTAATAAATATATGTAAATCCGTCCCCTCTTTTTTCTTGGCACGGGCGCGTTAGGGAGGTGATAGATATAACTGTTACGCGATAAATTTCTAAAAAGTTCTGGAACCGAGATGTAGAGAGGGAGCCCGGTGACCTCTGCTGAACCCGTTCCCGGCCGTAAATTCGATCTTCGGTGACACTTCCGGTGCAAGGGATAAACGGAGGGGGAGGGCGGGAATCGCCGATTAGTACTACTGTCACCCCCCGACATCTGCCGCCCTCTTCTGTTTACCGGCGTCTCGTTAACGGTGAAAGATTGTCTGGTAGTTGGTGAGCGTATTAATGGGACACGGCAAAACAAAAGGAGCGCATTGATTGCACGATATAAGTTGTGACCCTCTGCGAGAGTCATTAGCGAACATTAATGCGGTCGGCAATGGCGATCGCAAATTATTTCTTGAATCCTCGTGTTTTTTTCTTTTTAATTGTCGCCAGTTATGACTCGTACACGCATCCATATTGAATACTATGCAAATCACGATATATATTTAGAGTTGTAATTACGTACAACGGCTTATTCACACTTTAATATATGGATTATTCACCAATTTGAGAGGAGTTGATTTTGCTTAACAAAGTGATATTACTAGCTCTTCAATTGTAAGGAAAAATTCCGAGTTCGAACAAAGCAATTTTTTTACAAATCTCACATTTTATATATGCAAATCATTGTGTTCATTTTATTCATTTTATTCATTTTAACGAGTATAACACTACAATATTTTTTAAAATTATTTTCTAGAAATCTGGCATAAATATAATGGAATGATTATGATCTTGCAACGGTAGTATCGATTACATCTGCTAATCAAAATACGCCCAACCACGAATTATAGCAAGGTTAAACAATTCGTACGAAAGACTGTATCAATGGGTAATAGGAGATGAACGCGGTGAAACGATACATGTGCGATAATACGCACCACCGAAATTGACGTTCCGATAGAGGAGTTTCAATTCTGTAATAGCCGAGTATATTGCGTTTCGAACTTTTTTTTCCAATATGCACCGTTGAACCGGTATAGAAATAGTGTGACGATTTTTTCACATCGACGCGTATAGATTACCGCGTTTTTCTCTATTTACACGTACCAGAGATAACCAAGTGTAGTCGAATCTGTTATTCATTATCTGCGTCACATCCTAAGTCAAATCTTTCGCAATAAGCAAAGTGAAATCTTTTTTTTTTTATTAAATATTCAGAGTTTCAATATCCGTTATGTACTTTAAAATATTGTTAAACTACTGTATACGATCGACCCCAATCTTTTTTAGAAAGCTTATTTTCGTAAACACGATTGTTTTCTAAAATTAATATAATAGAATAACGAATTGAGGGAACAACGCGATTCAACAACGCTGATTTACGCGAAGCCTCGAGACATCCAACGAGATGTCCAACGGAACAAGATGTCGAGTAATATAGCGATTGAAGCGCGGAAACTTGGCGTCGTGCGACAAAGCAGCCCGCAGCTATGTTGTAACGCGTTTGCGCGCGCAAATTGCAATCATGGGTTTTCGATTTCCCAACCTCAAGGCGATCGCGATTTCACAAATTGTCTTGCGCGCGCTACTGTGCGAATTTCCTCTCGTCGTCAACTACGGAGTTTGTCGATCGAGAGTTTTGGCGAGTTAGCGTTTGCGGGTCAGAAAATCGTGTACGAGGCCATGGAGTCTCGAGATAGGATTTTCTTGATTTTCTTCCTTTTTGTTTCGACAAGAAAATTCTCGTCCGAACGAGGCGCTTCACATTGCGAAGAAAATTACGCAAGAACAAGGTTTAGAGCTTGAGGCGGCATTTTGCAGATATCATTGAGTTTTTCTTTATGTTTACGTCTACGTAGCCCATGATTGAAATAACCGATTGAAAGAAGGTAGCAGAAAAACGCATAATCTCATGTATTTGATACTGCTCTCACCTTCTCTTCTTTTCGGTGTAAAAAATGAAAATAATTATATATATTTTATTCTGAATTTAGATATTCAGCAATCGAGTAGCAAGTATGTTTATTGAAGCGAGTTGAAATTTTTTACATACAGAATATCTCGAAACTCGAGCACTTCTTGCGTTGCAATTAAAACTTTTGTTAAAGAAAAGCAGATTGTTATTATCCCTTTGTCCATGTTTGAATGTCGGTCAGTTCAACCGAGCGTTCAGAACGGTCGGTCAAGAGGCCATTGCTATGATATACTGCACAGTATCATCAGCTCTGTCCACGCACTTTAGCTAATTGAAGCATGGATGTTGTCCATTAAGTCCAGTGATTATCTCTCCTTTGGCTCGTTTTCCACTCCACGCCGTTCACTCCCTTTCTCTCTAGACGACCTCTCATCCAAACGGATTTCCTGCTTCGCAAAGCAAGCTTTCTGACCCGTGTCGGGTCATCTGTAGAGTGAATAGAAGCGAAACAGTATAGTTAGCAACCGCGGCATCGTTCATGAATATTCGTACGGCTGAAATTGCTCGAATATCTTGGATGCGGTTCTTGTCCCTGCGGCGAAGGGCAAGTCTTTTCGTCATCCTCGCGTCAACCTCACTTCGTCGCGATGTACAACGACGACAGGGACCATCTTTTAGCTTATGCATGCTCGCAATGGGCTTTCATTAGCAGGCTTTTTCAACATTCTTATATACCTTTGATGACGTGTGAATTATACAGGTGCGTGCCGGCTGCGTCGCATACCACGCATGACACAAATGCCAGGCTTGCGCATGCAAAAGTGAATGAAAGCCTCATAGAAGCAAAGCAGGTCGTCAAAATTTTTAATCTTGAAAATTTATTTATTAATTATAAGTATTTGCAATCTAAAAATTGATTAGATTGCAAAAATTGAAATTAAATGAATTAATGTCAACAAGATATGAATTTTTTATAAGTTATAACACATTTGCATAAGAAAAATATTGACATAATTCTAATTATGGATTTAAGTAGCACGGTGCATTACGTTTTTATTTCTAGATATTCTGTGCACTCGTTTTTCGTCACGTTCTCATTGTATTATTAGATTTTGACGCTTAAATTCTATTTTGGATTATTTTTCTTTATAGTTGGCAAGAATATGTGACAGTTATATGATCTGGAAATTATTTTAACTTACATGGCGACACCTCTGCATGATTGCACCATAGAACTAAGTGGATAATATTAGCGCGCGAAACTCTCGTGCGAATTGTGCATTCGAAGTAGAACGGAGTTGAGGAGAAATGTCATAAACAAAATGTTCGAGTGGCCCGATGTGCGCGCCATTTGGTTTCACGGTGCGTACGCGCGACAACGATTACGAGGGTGTTAACGATTGTTAGCCGACAAGCTCGAGCGGGCAGAATGCGATGAGAATCTTCGAGTTGTGCTACGATATGTCTCTCTTTCGAAAATGGGTCTTCTTCAAGAAAATTCCTTTTCCTGAATGGTGACTTTAAACGCGCCGCGGCGCTTCTGGAAAGAATCTCTTAGCGAGTTAAATGAATCGCGAACGATTACCTACAACGGCAGGGGTGATTCATTTCATTGTGCGCTGTTGGAAAGAGCTTGGATGGAAACGATCGTCAGAGTAACGAATTTCCTCGTGACGACTCGACGTCGTATCGTTCACTTTGAAACCGAGGGGTTGCACTTTGTCCGCCGCGAAGTTTAGATCGATAGCGACACGGATTTGAATCTTCTCGCCGAACATTGTCCGTCGTTTAAGGAAATCACGAAGCAATGGTGCGTATTTCCCGCTATTGGCAATTTTCATTGATACTTTTCACGCGCAACGTGTTCGTGCAGAAGAACTTGAACAAGTGATAGTTTTATGGACAGTTTTAGACAGATTCTACTCTTAAAAAATGTTCAAATAATTTGTTGCCTTCATTTTTTGCTTAAAAATAGGATTGGTTTTATTTTGAAATTTAATCTTTTGTGGAGTTTAATGATTATCACAGTTAGAATTTTTTTTTCTAACGATAAATTATTAAATATTTCCAGTAAAGTATGAACAAAAAGCAAAATTTTTTATGCAATAAGTTATTTTATAAAAATTAGAGCTAATATCCTTTTTACAAGCAGAAAAGGCAATCAATATTTTGTTACGATCAAATTTTATGTG